AATAAAGTTACTTCAAGATGCTAAATTATTTCATTTACACTCACTGCCGACGCTTTCTTAGCACTATTGGATACGGTCACTTAACAAAATGATGTGATCAATTCTTTTACCCCATAGTTACTTTGTCATAAATTGATGGGGGGCCATTTACCCCGGGGTCCAACTAGCCCTGGTCTCCCCTATATCGTAGGCCTAACATGGTTTTCCTTTCATGGTCATTATGGCAGCTGCGTCCAAAATAGGGTTTTCTTCAATTTTGATGCAATATTACACAAAGCTGAACAGCATAATCACCACCAATTTGAATAATATAATAAAACATCTTGGATATTCAGGAAATGTGACTAGCAAATGCCTTCAGGCCCATGGAAGTCCAAAGTCATGCCTTGAAACTGACAAATGAACATTACACACACACAGACAAACACACACACACACACACACACACACACACACACAAAGAATGCATATCTACAAGAAAATATTCAATCAGGCTTGGTTTCTGAACTCGACCTGAATTTCAGTAATATGATCACTCCTGTTAGTTTGAAGACAATAGTTCGACGGCAGTGAGATATTTGTAATGCATATATGCTGAAAAAAAGCGTGAAAAAACTTTTTAAATGGTCTGATCAAGCTGATTTACGAACTCGACCTGTATTTTATGGTTATTCATCACTTCTGTAAGTTTGAAGACAATGCAAGTAGTTCAAACGGTTTTCCATTTATTTATTCGTTTATTTATTCTGGAAATGTACGGCGACGGCGAAGACAGCAATGGCTATAAAAAGTCAGAATCCTAACAATATCAAATGCTACTACCACTATAGGTTATATCTAAAATTCGTATGCTGTTTCATAGGTTAGATGTAAAATACTAAACTTCATCTACCTATCCCTTAAGATGTCTAGGGATGTATAGTTCTGGGGAGTCTAGCCATCACCGCTAGCGTACCGGTGTCACGAAAATGACAGTCCGTGTGACAGAAAGTCCGCCCTCCATATAGTTACAATGGCTAGGGTTAGTTTGATCTAAGCGGGTCAAAACCTAGGGCGAGACTCACCTGTATAAATTATTGGGAAGCGGACTCTCTGTCATGGGGGACATGATACCGGGTACTGTATATCGCAGAGATAATCACAAGCCTTGGAACAATCGCACGTCCTCTCTATCAAAGGTCAGCAGGGCGATGACATCATTTTCCCCAAATATTTATTGCTCACAGTACAGAAAAGTGCAGAGATATAGCCAGAGAAATAAAAGTGAATATCAAGTGGAAATTGTTTACTGGGGCCATGGCAGTAGGTTTATAGGTATATGATACATGGACCTAAGCGTAAAATGAGGCTTTGTTCCGTGATTGTGGTGCTCGCTGAACTTCCACTACATGCACCAAGAAACGTGNTTCAGATATGAACCCAGCAAACACATGACGTCTTTATAATCAAAATGGTAACAACTAGTTTTACTACTAACAGTATTACCGTTTGTACTCATAGGTCCTCTGATTTTCATAATATATTACATATTACATATATATTACGTTCGAGAGGAAGGTCATTTCCTTTAAAATCTTTGTAAGGAATACATTTTGTTTTTGGCTTACCCTTCGCCTGGCGGTGGCTGGTCGAGCTCCCACCTGTTAAGAGAAAACATTGGTGAAACATTCTCGGAGGCTTAAGAAGGACAGAGTATGGCACGTGAGACAAGAGAGACGGTTAGAACATCTTTATCACTATAAATCTGAAATGGCTGAATAACCAATCAAAAGCAACTAATAGTTACATAGAAGAGATATGTTTAAAATAATTATAGGGATAAGAATTTCGTATAGACCTACCGAGCCGCAACAACCGTAAAAACCAAGAGCAGAACAAATGCGGTCTTCATCTTCACGTTATATTGTAAGACAGTATTTTATCCAAGCTGCAGTGATAGTGGAGCTGGTTAAGTTGTCCCCGTACGTCAGTTTTTATAACCCTACCATCCTACCTGCCCGCAACTTATCAGGCCAAGTCACTCACTTACGTCACCATTTATTCAACAGGTGATGAAACTGCCAGAAGCCGGGACTGTCCTAGCTTATTATTAAAACGAATGGGAAAAAGTAATAATTAAAAGGGAATCCAAGACGTAAAAGGAAAAAGAGTTACTGAGTGTGAGTAATATGTCCTCAAAAGTTAACAAGTGTAGAAAACCCTTTCCGTGTAAGGAAAAGATGGAACAAGTTTATTTCTTTGGTTAACTCCACAATGGAATTGAAAGTTTCTATCACGTGTTTAACACATTTAAACTGAGTGACGGGTATGATACAAGTGTAGATTTTTGATTAAAAAAGGCTCTAACAGATTGCCTTATTAGGAAATAATGGACGGACGAGTGAAACATCAGAATGGAAAAGTCTGGTAATTACGCAAATGTAACGAAAACGAGTAAAAGGTGGCTTCGGTACGGAGAGCATATAGAGCATATGGACTCTTAAGTTTGTATGTAAAGTCAGTGGGTGAATAAACGGTTGAAAGCTCCAACTCGTCATCGTCGTTATCAGAATAATGACAGATGTGTGAGGACTGGTGACAGTATACATAAAAGCATGTTTATTTCCTTCTCGTTGCCTCGTGACTCTTTTCAGTTAATAATTTTTGCCTGTCCCTGACTGACTACCTGTTGATTGATGTGTTTTTGTTTTTGTTTTGCTATAACCATAATTTTGTTTAAGGTGAACGGATCTCACAGTTAGGACTTTTAACGATACTTTGACTCAGAATGACAATTATAAATAAAAAAAAGATGAATAAAATTGAGAAAATCCCTCATGTCCTTTCTCTTTTGCCATACGGGTTTTCTTCCAAACGCACACAAACAACAATTCCACACTATCTCCCATAGGAACTTGTTGACAAAGTATGAACCGTGTTGTCACCCCCGCTCATGCTATCCAAGGTCATCTGAGCGAAATCTCAATCTTTGTTTGGTTGCCAGTCACCCTTCACTGTCACCATTGTCCCCGCGGTGTAACTCTAGCTTTTAATGAAATCTGTTTATAGGAAAGGGTAAAGGACTTTGGGAGGGATAATTTTTTACCCAATGAATTGGGTCTCCTTTAACCTTCACCATTGATGCCGAAACTGAAAGAAAGTTTGTGTGGAAAGAGGGGTAAAACTGTGATGGTGCTAAGTAAAGTTACCTCTCAGGTTTCGGTCTAGACATAAATATTTCTGTAAAAAATTTCAGTTAAAAAGTTTGTCACACCTTAAGTCTTATATGCTTCTGTTTACAAATGATCACGATCACATGACAGCCTTTGACCGTTTTAAAGAGTGTTTTTTTCACACATGCCAATCAGGGCCGTGGCCTCGGGGGGGGGGGGGGGGGGGGCAGGGGGGTTCTGATCCCCCCCACCTTCGGTCATGGGTAAAATCACCTCAATATTCCTCTCTTGATATTAGAATTCTGAAGACCTGAATCATAGTTCTAAACTGCACCAAATGACACAGTTTGCCCTCCAAAACACCGAAACCCACACCATAGGGGGCAAGTGTCGGCTTCGCATCCGAGACCTTAAAAAAAGGGGAAAAAAGCCCCCCCCTTTCAAGTAATCCTGGATCCGCCCCTGAAATTTGTACATATTTTTGTGTGTGTATTTGTGATATATTGTCATATAAGTTGCTATAATTAATATATCAACTGTAGGCCTTTGTGACTTTTTGGTATGGTATCTACATACATGTACCATCTTTAAACTTTCATTTTATTTTAAGAAATATAAATGAATTAAAACTTCTTAGAGATAGGAGGTATATTAGTGGCCTGTATCGAACTCACTATGATTACTAGAATCAACTAGAAGTGCTCAATCTTATTGTTATTATTATTTAATTTTTTTTTTATTTTACAAAGGCAGTGCATATGAAAATCATAATATACGATTTTAATAAAAAAACTATCTAGACCTCAATTTTTATTCACATATTCAGATACCGCAGCATATTTTAATAATATTATTTCTTAAATATTTAAATCCTCAAAGAACGGCGCAAGAAAAGTCATGTGGCAGCACTCAGAACTACTCGGATGGCTCGTAATCGACAATGGAGCGTAGCGGAGTCAGCCGAGGATTGCCGATTGATGTGGCAGTCCAAGTTCTGGATCGGGGATATACGTTACGTTCCGGGTTTTTCCGTGGAGCTATGGTAAACAAATATGGCCGTGCCCACAGAAACACGTGCCAACGCTGAGACTCCTGTGTTTGATGCTAAACTTAGACCGAAAGTCGGTGTTGGTGTAATTGTCACAAGTCCAAACCATCCAAATTGTGTAATTATCGGTCAAAGGAAAGGTTATAAGACTGGGGACCTGTATGCACTGCCTGGAGGACATTTAGAGTTTGGGTAACTTGAGTCAATCATAGACAATGAAACTGTACATGTACTAGTACTTTCAGTACCAATGGAATTTCGACTTACGCCATTTTCGGCTGTTATCGATCGAACTTGCCAAATTTGCAAATTATCCTTTTTGTGTAAACGAAAGCATGTGCACTCCAACGTCATCGATCACAAGTTCTACGTACATGCGTTTTCTCCCTCCTCCCCCCCCCCTTTCTCAAGCGTACAAACAAACACACAATATCATTTGATGAAATACATGTATTTCCCTTTTCATTAAGGGAGGAGTGGAATGAATGTGCCATAAGAGAAGTCCAAGAAGAGACTGGCCTGAGACTGACAAGAGTGGACTTTGCCACAGTGGTCAATGTGGTGTGGAGGGAACACAATCTCCATTATGTTACCTTGTTTATGCAGGGAGAGGTGGAGAGTGGGTGCGAGCCCAAAAATTTGGAGCCAGAAAAATGTGAAGGTGACTGTGGAAGCAGTTTCAGTAGTTTCTTAAAGTCATAATAACTCTTAGTTTTGGTCAAAAATACGATTTTCCTGGAAAAAACAGCAATTTCCCGTACTTACCAATGGTCAACGACCCCATTCCTGCATTTGAAGTTAATCCAGGGTTTTTTTCCTAAACGTACGTTTTTTTGTTAAAATCTCTTAAGAGATTTTAACTGACGGAGCCCTCTCGTATCGAGCAATACTGTAGTTTCTAGTGACCTACTTAAAACTGCGGGAAAAGCAGACAACAACAACACTATATCAATATTATAAGATTCATAAGATATATTCGTCTTTTTTGCTCAAAATGCATTTATATCTACAATGTGTGCAATTCTGGGCTTTTCGTTATCCGACACACTGTAAAAAAAACTCGCAACTTACGTCTGAGGGTTTCCCGCCATGTTATTTTGGTCTCGAATGAACGCGAGAATCCGCGTGACACCATTACGTCATTAGCAAAGGATGCACTTGTCGACCGCGAAGAAAGGCATCGAAAGCCCAAGTGACAAGCACAGATTTTAGTTTTACTACAATAACAGCCGTTTTAGTGGGAAAATGCAATAGAATATATTTCCAGGCGTTGTTTACAATGTATTTCTTGCGGAATTTTGAATCTCAAAGGAAGAGTTATTTTTGCTTTAATTATTATTCACTTTGTCATAATTGCACAATTTATTGACCTTTTTTTATTATTTCATTCTTCAAACCCATTGAATTCCTTCACTCTTTTTTCCCACATTTTCATTTATTTTCTTCTAAATAGCTATAAGAAAGATTGATATTTTGAATACTTACAACACCAGTCTTTTTAATTATGACAATTTCATTAAAATCCATTATCAGGTTGGCAATGGTGTGACTGGGACAATTTCCCATCCCCAGAGGAACTTTTCCTTCCTCTGAAACTTGTCAGACAGCAAGGGTATAATCCTTTTGTAAGTAAAGGCACTGGGTGAATTGGAGACAAACTGTTTAAAGTGAGTAGATCAGGTATTAATTGTGTTAATAATCTTCAAATTGGAAAATGTGGTAGCTTTCATTTTTTTATTCATTTTTATTTTGTGGGTTCAAAAGGATGATAAATAGTGTAAAAGTTTGTAAGAGTCAGATACTGCATCTCCAAAAAGTGTAAATAAAAACAAAGAATAACAGCCTTTTATTTGAAAATTGCTTCTTAAAGAAACAAGAATTAAGTCGCTATATGTCACATTCAGTTGTACATTTAAAACTATTAAATTTGTAATTTGTTCCATCCTTGGTATACCTGTATATCTGATAAATTATCTTTCAGCTTGATTCAGAATAGTGCAGTGGAAATGGTAACTATGAAAGTAACACAAACAAGNAAGTAAAATGGTGTAACAAGTTCACACTTTGAAAATGTACAACTTCCAGAAAAAGAAGCTAATTAGACTGCTTTTCCAACTCAGGCTGCATTTTAGTCCTGTATTTCTTTTTTGAAAGTTTGGAAATCATAAGTAACATGGTTTTCCCATAATGGCAGCAGCACCCAAAATTGTGTTTTCTTCTATTCTGATGCGACATAACATAATGGTAAACAGCATAATGACCATCAATTTTAGTAATAAAATATTAGTATTATGGATATTCAGAAAATGTGACTAGCAAAGGTCTTCAGGCCCATGGAACTTCAAAGTCACATCTTGAAAATGCCAAAATGTAAACAAGTCAGCACTGTTCTGAAATGGGTTTATTTCCATTTTTAACACTTTTTTAACATAAAACAAAATTAACAGTTTACTGCCAATTTTATATGACCAACTAAGAAAATTGATGAGATGGGGAAAATATCAATAGAACAGTGTTAAATGTCCAATTTCCTCCATTCTGAGATTCTGAACATAGTGAATGATTGAATCTGACAAACTGCAATAATATGAGTTTATTTCCATTTTTGACACTCTATTACACAATACACAATAACAAGTTTACCATCATTTTTATATTATCAACTAACAATGTTGTAAAGATGCAGGAAATGTCAACCAAACACTTTTACAAGTCTTATTAGTTAAATAATGAGACTGTTAACATGCCTAAGAATTGAATCTGAGGAAATGTGACACAAGACAGCACTGTTCTGACATGGGTTTATTTCCATTTTTAACACTTTTTTTAAACATAAAACAAAATAAACAGTTTACTGCAAATTTTATATGATCAACTAAGAAAATTGGTGAGATGGGGAAAATATCAATAGAACAGTGTTAAATGTCCAATTTCCTCCATTCTGAGATTCTGAACATAGTGAATGATTGAATCTGACAAACTGCAATGATATGAGTTTATTTCCATTTTTGACACTTTATTACACAATGCACGATAACAAGTTTACCATCATTTTTACATAAGCAACTAACAATGTTGTAAAGATGCAGGAAATGTCAAACAAAGACTTTTACGTATCTTATTATGCTGATTTTCGAACTCAACCTGCGTTTTAGTAAGATTGACCACTCCTGTGAGTTTAATGACAACAGGCCTAACGGTTTTCCTTAAAATGTGTTTACAGGGTTGCATATATGCTAAAAAGTGAAAAAACAGCATAACTTCTACAAAAATGGCCCTATCATGCTGATTTTCGAACTTGACCTGCATTTTATGAATATTCATCAGCTCTGTAAATATAAAGCCAAAAAGTAAAAAGGCCCTCCACTTATCGTGTTTACAAGGAAAGTGCACGGCGCATCGGCATTGGCAACGACAGACGCAGGTGATGGCAATATGTACAGACACAATTCATTTCAGTACAGTTATCTCTTGTGTACATTTTGGCATTTTGAAGTTGTGACTCTGAACTTCCATGGCCCTGAAGACCTTTCCATATCAAATTTTCTGAATATCCATGATATTTTTATTTTATTATTTAAAAAAAATTGATGGCCATTGTGCTGTTAAGCATTATGTTAAATTGCATAAAAGATGAAAAAAAACCCTTTTTTGGACATCGCTGCTGGGATGACCATTAAGGAAAAACCATTTTACTTATGATATTCTAACTTACTGAAAAGTTTCATAGGACTGAAGTGTAGCTTGTGTTGGAAATCAGTGTGATTGTTTTCTGTTTTGGAAGCAATGCAGCTCTATAGAGTGTTATATGGGGCTACTGTTTATGAATGGTGGTAATTGTCCCTTGGGATAATCACTAGCTAAATTCAGAGCTATAAAATTACTTGCCTAATTGATTTTCAAGTGCCCATTAAATAAGATTACATAAAGCACACGTTAAGATTTC